CATGCCCTCTACATCCTCGCATTCTGGAAGAGCACAGCGGATTCTTTCCACCGGCGTCGCAAGAATAAAAGCTCCTCCGCCAGCTTGGATATTACTGTCGGTTCTCCATTGATTTCCCTTTTTTGGGTTACAAGAAAACCAATTATATAAGGTTGAACCAAATAACGCGCATTGATAACAATAGGGACGAGATAGCTAGATGTGACGTCGCGGAATCAGAATAATTTCATTTCTCTCCAGTATAGATCGAGGAAAGACAATATCCTGCTTCTCTCTGATTTTTGAATAGGCATATATCAATTTTCAGTCCAACAAGCCTTTACAAAACAGTAACAATAAAGCAAGAAAAAAGTAACTTACTCTGCCGAATCCTGCCGATCTGCTGCCCTTTGACATCTTCTAAAGTGTTTGCGGGTCGTACGCGTTGTCGTCTTCACTTTGAATAACAAGCGGTGTTCCACGTAGAGCTTTGATCTTGAAATAATGATACCTGGTGGCTTTAATGCCAAAACGGCCACTAATGGCCAAAGTGCCAAAACGCACTACTGGCGAAAATGCTAAAACGGCCAGTAGCGGGCAGAATGCCGAAACGGCCGCTTGTGACCAAAATTGGAAAACGGCCACTAGTGGCCAAAATGCCAAAACGGCCACCAGTGATGAAAGTTTCAAAACAGCTACTAATGGCTATAATGCCAAAATGGCTACTAGTTGTTAAAATCGCATGACGGCCACTTGAGGCAAAAATTGCAAAATGGCCACTAGAGGCCAAAATTGTAAATGGGCTACTAGTGGCCACAATCCCAGAACGGCCACGAGTAACAAAAATCCCAAAACGGCCACTATTGGCCAAAATCACAAAATGGCACTCGTGGCTAAAATTGCATAATGACGACTAGTGGCCAAAATCCCAAAACGGCTACCAGTGGGCAAAATCTGAAAACGGTCACTAGTGGATGAAATCTCACGATGGTCACTAGCGGCCAAAATCGGGAGAAATATTTACGAAGGAGTTTTCCCTGGTGGTAAAGTACATTTTCGGCTGACTGAAACGTTTCTAATACCTGCACAGTGATCATGAAAACTCAGTTGATCATTATTCAATGTCTTCTGTGGAACAGATCGTCATGTTTTAATAGACTTTCTGATTCTGTAATAATTAGTTCATACTATCTAATAACTTTTAGGTTTTTTTATTCCTAATTTTTTTCAGTGACACTCTAATTGTGCAGATTGCAGACTTTATAAACGTATAAAAATCATATAATAGCTTTAAGGTACGAAACCATTTCAAAGAACGTTTTCCTTGTACGTTGACTAGGAAGAAGCGGCGCGAATGTTTATTAATTCCATATCCGTGATAAAGCAGTGTGCGAAAAGCTTATAAGAACTCTCACGCTGTATGTAAATAATCTTGAAGAAATCAGCCTATCCTTTTTCGCGCTGGTATTTTAAAATTCATTTGTATCTTGGCATCTTCGCTACATTTTGGTTCAATCTGCTTATTTCAATATGCTATCCTATAAATAATGGGTTTCCTTCACTTTGAAGGCATTTTCTTTTGTTTGTTTTTTTTTTTTTTAGCATTTTTGTCTTGGACATTTTTACGGTACAATTCACGTAAACAGTTGTATTTACAAAACGTTAATCCGAGCACTGAACAAATTTCTAAAGGGAAATTTTTGGCTAAAGGAATCCGGAGTTGTGTAGTTTTTGCCCCGCTAAACTCGTTGATTGATCTAGTCACGACGTGCCGATTTCTCCAGCAATCAGAAACAAAACTGAAAAAAGAAATTGCGTCTTGCTCATTAGCGTTTTCTCGCTATTTAAGCTGCTTGCTTCTTTTACTTCGAGTTCTTATCGGCTCTTAATAATTTTCTACCCTTCTCCTAACTGGCTGTTTTGATAACCTTGGTTTTAATTCCACGAAACTCAGTTGAATTGCTCTCTGTGAACCTACTTTACCGCAGATATGCTTGCTTGTCGCAGAAAACGACTCAAAGTATGGTAAATTAAAAATTGGGTGTGGAAAATCGGGTGTACAGAAATTTAAATGGTAGAAAATGGATGAATGATTCTAAGCTCCTCTACTAAGAACAACAATGGTAGAGATTAAAATTACTGCTACAAAAATCCAGAAAAATAATCGATCTAGGACCATAGCAAGATGTCTCCATTCTTCCTGATTCTTCTCGATTTGCCGACGATGCTTCAAACTGTCTACAAGCACCATGACACCCTGTGCTGTCTTGGCACTGTTGCAGTCACCATCATTGTTGTGATTTTTCTCGTGGTGGGCGTCCATCTTTCGACATGTGCTTGTAACGGAGTTCGTTGAGGAGGTCATGCAAAACTCTTCTGGTGAATTTAAAGTCGATTTTGTCGCAGCTCGTGAGCGAGTGTCATGCAGCAGCTTTGTTTTAACGTGGTTGTTGGTACCACCAAACCTTTTGTCCAAGTCCTTTTTCATCATAGAGATTCTCTTAAAATCCACCTCCGCTGATAAGTCATATTTGTCCTCTGTTACAGGCTTCTTCACGCCCAAAAACTTTCCGAGCTTGTCGAGGATATACACGTTGACCCATCTGGGAACAGGCACCACGGCCGTCCCAGAATTTCGATGGTGAATGTGCAAGATGTAACATGTGGCGATGAGAGAACTGGCGACCTCTATCATGACTGTGATGTAGAATATACCCATTACCGGTACGCTCTCAGAATTCCTTGGCAAATTTTCTGCCCCTAATTGCAGAAACACAGCCATAGCTAACAGCACGGTAATACTCAGAGTTATTCGCTCTCCAGATTCAGGGGGTAGGAAGAAACCCAGCAGCACCATGGACACGATTATCATACATGGAACTATCAGATTAAAAATGTAAAACAAAGGCTTCCGTTTGAACACGAACTCGATGGTAACATCGGAAAAAGGATAATCACAGCAAGCGTATGACTGGACGTTTCGTTTCTTGGAAGCTCCAAGCAAATCCCATTCCGCGCTTTTCACGTACTGCGTGGAATGAAGTGGAGACATGTCTGCGTGGATATCAAGGTCAACCACTTCAAACGTCCAGGAGCCAAAGTTCATCGTGCACGTCTGTTGGTCAAATGGGAAGTACGTGACGTCAATCGGACACGTGCTTCGAAACGAGGCTGGGCTGTACCAGGCACTGGTCCCATTGTAGTCAATAATAACACGAGTCTTGTACTTTTCAAGTCCACCGCTGAACTCACTGTCTGCGCTGTAAAGAGAGATAATTCCAATATCTAAGTTAGATTTTGTCTCTATTATAAATATTGTCCGAGAACTTATCCCTAATTGTTTTAACACGCAGACCTGCGATTGCAAAAGTGCAAAAATATAAAGCAACTTCTAAATCTTTGGATATCAAAGCAAATATTTTGGTAACCTAGACGTACATATCCAAATTATTCATGGACAAGCAAATAGGAGGCCAAAATGTACAAACTGATTGACAGGCAAACCAGGATATAGCTCAACCTTTAATCGACATAAAACTTCAGACCAGCAGCACAGTAACTGACCTGTTGTAGAGAACGATGTCCGGAATCCAAAGCAGACTTGGATCAATACGAACTCGTTTGATACCACCATATTTGTCCGGACGCCATGTCAAGAGAAGATTTCTCCATTTCTAAAGAAAGGTGTGGTACATAAGACCGTGCCTCAGAGGCAGGTCAGTAATAACGATGATGATCAGGGGCATACACATTAATTACATTAATTACAAGCTTTGAAAAGCTTCGCTTATACATACCTGTCGCACCCACACGTTTGTTGTGATGATCTGATTTTTATCATCCTAAACAAAGTAAAAAAAGCCCAGTAAGCTAGGACCCAGCTAAATCTTGAACAACTAAACTGCAACTATACTTAATCCACATGGACATAATTTCTTTGGTTTTACTTACTACGTTAACGAGTTGGACCAATTCCAAACCAAACGTGACCATGTATAGACTCTTGTTTTGTTCTGGTATGGGATGAGCATCTTTGTTGTACCCTTTTAGCAGGTCATTGATCAAATCTTGTTCTGCAGCGGAATTTGCGCCTGTCAAAGTTTTGAAACAAATCAAACTTTTATCACAGACTAATGTTACTGACAAATCATATAATCAGTTAGCTAAATGGCATTTAGGACGAACTAAGTATTTCTTCTTTAGCAAATTGGCTCGCACGTTGCTTACAACAAAAACATTATTGGTGTTTTCCACATAGCTTAATCATGCCCACATTTCTTCAGTATAATCTTTTACATTAATATGACCTGTAACATTTTTTTTAATATCCATGAAAGTGTTATTCTGTTGGGCAACTGAATTACGTAAGCGTAAATTTCCATTTGCAGTCCTTGCATATTACATTGTATGAGATATCATATTGTGTCTTGTCGTGGTTCACAAAAATAGCTACTCTAAGACCCTCTAAGAGATGACCCGAGAGTCCGAGAGTAATTTTTTTATTCAAAGGAGAGGCAAATTTTTCTTTTTGCTGTTTTTTAGCTTTAAAATTAAGGGAGTGATCTTTCCTTTGTCCAAAAAACAATTTGTTTGTGCTTTCTTGTGTGATAAACTGTTTTCAGCGTTTAGTTTAACTCCTGTGAGATATGTGGTTTCGGGGATTTCTTACGATCCGAATGGTTTGATAGAGCGACAGGAAGGGTCTCGCGACTTGAAGATGAAGGTTCTTGTATGCCATTCAAACCATTTTTGTTATAATAATTTACGGATATTTTGACAACCCCTATTCATAAATCATTGGAAGTGACACCAACTAAGAAAAACAATTCAAACGATGAGTTTCCAACTGAGAAACAATCATTAACAACAGCGCTCTTGCAAGAAAGCTCTCTACAGGGGACTTATGGGATATCAAGCCTCCCCTGATATCGACCACCCTTGCCAACTTACTGAACATTTATGTCTTAGTTTAAAGTTATCAAGCTGTTTTTCTTTTGTTAGCAGTTGTATTTGCCTTTTTGGAATTGCGACGAATTTTCACTAATGAAATCGCGACCTTTATACTCTATTGGCCAAAATGACATCCCTTAGGGCTGATTACGGGCGATTACATCCCCTTAAAACATCTTTGATTTTTATAACATTAACCAAAACGCCAAGCATTTGGTTTAACAAAGATATCTGGAAGTTGTTGATAGTGGTATCGGTGAAAGCATCGCGCTGCTATCGGAATAATTCAGGCTCGAAGGTTTGAAATCCTTCGACTGTTGGTCTTTTTTGTTTACTTTTTGAATAATAGGTTAAAGAACAGTTTAGAACTATTGAAGTTTGTTGTTAAATTCCACATTACGATAGCTAAAGGAAAATTTAGATAAACAAACGCCACAATAAATTTACAAACTGAGCATACTGAGTATCAAAAAGCTAAAGAACAGGCTTTTTTTTATTCCACTCAAGTTTTGATGTGTAGGAGCCGGTCTAAATAATTCAATCAGTTGACACCCTTTGGGTATAGAACAATCTACTTGTTGGCTTAAACAGACTGAATTGCAACTTGACATATTCAACGACAAACAAATCGTCAGCACTAACTTAAACTACTGAGTGAACCTGCGTTGGTTAATTGTGTTTGTCCTTTGGGGCAAATAATGAATCGCTACACTAAGCGATTAACTTTGTTAATAGTAGCTAACATTAACACGTCGGGAGGAAATATTTGCTTTTTTTTCTTCGCTTGTTAGATGGATGAAATATCAATGTGTTTAACTCAAAGCACGTGCGCTCCTGCGTGAAAATGACTGGATGTTTATGTGAATAACAAAGCTATTACGTATACCAACCTTCTGTGCGACATCCAGTTACTATCCAAGCCAACACGATGCAATTTACCAAAAACGCCATATGCCTGGTTAACAAAAGGGTCGATTCCACTTTAAAAATGGACAGTGACGCGTTTACGAACAACCTGTTGGTAAAAGACCTAAAACGATGATACAAGATCTTCTACATTCTAGATAATAGGGGCTGACAACAGCTACTTACCTCTTGCTGCGAGCGATTCTTGTGTAGTGATACCGAGAATTACTGAATATTCAACAACACCTAATTGCATAGACGGTAAAAAAAAGGATCGTGCTTTTTATACGAGAGAATAAAGAAGAACGATTGGACAAGAAGAACAATATAAGCTGATAAAAGGGTGCTCGATGGGTGGCCTAAAGCCCTCTTCCAATTACGCCACACGTCCATCTATTTGGTTAAGTGAATAGTACAATTTCTTTAAACATAAAATGGTCTCAGAAATAGTTTTACGATAAAAATAGCCAAAAAGAATAAAATTAATGTAAGGAAGGTAAAAGGGCCTATTACACGATAAATCCTCCCTCCTCTTTAAAAGTAAAGCTACTTAAGAGAGGAAATTATTTGAAACAAATTGTTATTACAGGTGTAATGATTTAAAATTCCGTGTCCTGGTAGTCGAGCCGGCTAAATTATTATACTTTTGATAACGTGTTGAAAACAGTGATTCATATAAGTTACAAATCAGTTAACAAGGTAACTTCATTGAAATTTAATTGATTGCAGATGTGAAGCGTAAATCATGGCGCATTGTGCAGTATATGACTGTGCTTTTGACGCTCCACCGTAATTCTGGTCACTTTTTTTGGATCATATAGGGGAATCCTTGTTTACAATATTTGCCTCATTAGCCTAAGCAATTCATTTTCTGATGGAGCTAAAAAGAAATCAGTTCTGAATATCGAAAGGTCAAAGTACGATTAACTCGGCCAATGAATACGAGCCTGATGCTTTGAATACTTTTTGTGCAACACGGGTTTAAAAACTCAAATTTTTACATAGAATGTATGAGCTCATTAGCGCTTTTGCCACCCAGAAATTTTGCAGTTTTTGATGGACTATTTCTCCTTGAATATTACACCCAAAGAGCTAAACACTTCACCATGTACTAAGGTTTTCTAGCTCTTTAGCTGCCTGAAGTCAATTTGTATCTAACATGCTTCCTTCTTTACGCAAAGCCGTATGCAAATGAACAAAAATGTAAACAATCACGTCAGCATGAATCCACCTATAAAGCCAGGGGAACTTGGTGCATTTACTACGTCACCAGGGGAGTAACTCGGACAACTCTGAGCAAACTTCAAATATAATGTACAGCGTCGTTAACAATATAACGATGGCCGTCGTTGTTCATTTGTTAAACTGCTCTGTGGTTAATAACATTCATAACTGATGACTCTTTAAATTGCCATCACTGTTACACGGGTCACATACACAGAACTGAGCCATCGGGGGTCGGGGAGGGGGAGAGAAAGGGCGGTTGGAGGACTTTGTTGTGTCTCAAAAAAATTTATCTCATCCCCCCTTAGGTACTATAGGACCCCCTTTATAATCTGTCAGCGACGACTGTCTAATCCCTCCCACGTTCCTCCCTAAAACATGTGACTCCCCCTCCTGAAAAAAATAAATCCACTGACCCCCTGCGAGGTTCTAAATAATGACTGATTCCTCAGTTGGAAATAATTTTTCCTCATCATAATGTGATTGGTTAATTTTGCCCCAGACCTTTCGTTCTATTCGTGTGTTCGGTTTACCCTTGCCATTACACCTAACCTGCGGCGATTTGGATTGCGTGAAGGCTGTACCAAAACCACATTGAGTTTTAGCGCTTATTGATATTCAAATATTCTGAAATTGCAAACGCCCACGATTGTTTGCCTCAAAACCTTAATCACACGGAAGTTCTTAGAGTTTTTACAGATCGGAAGTAACTCGTTCTAACATTCAATCCTAACATTACTTAATGAATATCACATTTAGTTTCAAAGTAATGCTGTGATAAGTCTGCTGTTTCTGTTAGTGTAGTTCACGTAAGGTGAAGTACCCTTCTTTCGTTAAACAATGTTGCTGTTGGCGACGCTACGAGGAAGGAACTCAAGAACAAACAAAAATGGAAGCAAACAGGCAATTCCTACATTACAGAAACTATCTAGTGAAAATGAAACTGTGAATCTTGATTGTAAAAGTCTGGAAGATATCGCAAAGTAGGATTTCTCATTTATGCTAATGAAATATGCCATGTGTCCTGCAATTTACCTAGTTGATCGACTGCAAAACTGCAATTTACAACTCGATACTCCTCTAGAATAAATTTTAATCGCTCTAATTTTTTTACGCGATTAATTCAATTTTCATCAAATTGTAAACAATAAATTGTGGGATTATTAAGTTCCCGGACACTTTTGTGTACGCTTTGGTTTGTCTGAAAGGAGATAAAATATACTCCAGGGCGAAAGTGAGTTGTTTAAACCGATGATAAATAACTTCAGTGAGCAAACGACGCAGGCAACTTACCAAGAGTACAATTTTCTTTCGGCTTGTCTCTAAAAATGGTGTTGAACGGTAGTATGACGAGACGACCTAAGGCAGAGAAATAAAAGACGAAATTACCTCGATTTATTGAATTTTTCACCAATTCACTCTTAGGTAAACTAGTACAAGTAAACTCACGAGCATCTGATCCTAGTAAACATTGTATTCCTCGGCTGTGACGTAGATCATGAGAAGTTCAATCTTCCCAAATAGTATGCGATGCCAGAATCATCCTTAGTGCCCATTTACAATAAAACAAGATATATGTGAGTTGAAGATATTTTGTGAGTTTAGACACAGGTGAATTGAAAAACCCCAGGATGATAAATATGCTCACCGTTGCACAAACAGCAGTGTACTATGACGAGTAACTTCGCAAGCAGTTACAGATAAATGTTACGTGAGGCCTCCTTGACATTGCCTGGAGAGCTCGCGTGGGAGAAATTTATCATATTACGCACGAATATAAATCCCCACGCTTACAAAATGTTTGTAATTTATGTGGATCAAACTACTCCAAAAGCTTGGGTTTGGCGTTAAAATTATTTTATAGCAATTTAATCACTATTTTCCTGAGATTGCAAACACTACGAGCATTGTTCCAAATAAAAATCGACCACCATGTGGCAAAGATTAACCAAATTTGAATTTTAATGCATTTTTTGTATTTTTCGTCAATCCTGACTTGAGTCATATGTTTACAAAAAATCGAACTGAAATGATGTCCAATCTTTAAGAAAGAGCTTCTTTTTTGTAGGAATTCCTAACAGTAGCAAATTATCCATGCTGTTGACACTTTAATAACTTGTTTTTTTGTAACTGATTTTTATCTTCGAGTCCACAGATTTGATAGCGATACTTTTCGATAGAGCAGTTTTCATTTTGCAGTCTGCGAGTTTTAAAACCAGTACCTAATTAACAATTTAACGGTTTATCCAACTCACACTTGTTAATATCATAGAACTGAGAAATTAAAGTGAAAAGACTAGACAGTTAAATGCTAACTTACCGGTCTCAATTGCCTTAGTAGGCTTTTCTTACTCCTGCGGGCGTCTTCTCGAATCTTCTGTAGACACTCTAAGGAATTACCTAATAACGTTGAAATAGCGAGAGCCCGATTCGGAAAAGCGAATTGACATGATTGCGGAATTTTTCGTGGTTGTTTTTCAAACAGCCTACTTCAAAATTGGTAAAACAATCTTCAAATTTGTCTGTCCTCAATTTAAATTTGGTTACTCTGTAACCGTAAAATAAATGATTGGTATTGTGGTTAAAATTCAGCGTCGGTCCCTCGCAATTAAACAGTGACCCGAACTCGATACAAGAAGTTTCACGTAATGATTGAGATAGTTTTAATTTAATCTTACGCTATTTTTCCTTCATCATTTTGTTTGATTGTTGACTATAGAATCAATGGAAAAGTCTTAAATCGTTTCTCGACGCAATGAGGGAGAAAATTAAAATCTACACCTAATACACAACATACAACCGCAATGTTTTGACAGACTCCTCGGGGGTTTCTGGTGTTTATTGCTGGGAATAATTAGAGAAAACTAATTTTCCACACCGATGTGCATTTATTAACGAAGCTTCTGTTTACATTAACCCAGTTATGAACGCATACGTTTCGAGTTGGAGATTTTCGTGATCTTCACTACTTACAAGACGTAGTGAAGGGTTTTCGATGAGGTTTTAAACCATTTTTATTCTGAGCCAGATATTAAGAAAGAATTCGCTCGTTATTTTTCAACTTAACCTCACTGTTTTGACTTCCATATACCAAGAACAATGACTTACTGAACAGATGTCACAATCTTGCAGCGAAATTTTTGCGCAGTTCAGTGAATGTTTCTCAAAGGAGCCTACGCACTCCTAGTTGCATAAAACTAAGTAGGCTATCTTTCCTCTTGAAGCGAATTATCCGTGTAAGTTAAGGCAGTTTTGCAATTTCTAACTGATGCGTTACTTACTGAATCCTTTTTACTGAAAATTTTTATTTCAAATAATACCTTGGCCTTTGTGGAGGTTTTTACCTTTCTCGATACTCTGCCGGATGTCTCCCCAGCTTCTTGTACGTTAAGCTTAGCTTGGTCCCATTCCTCCAAAGCGACTCACTATTCCTCACTCTCTCCTCCTTGTTATGTTTGGCCGCCCCAGCTTTTATTCCTCGCACGGGGCTCTTTCTGGGCATTCGCTTTTTATTAAGTTTTCTTTTCAAGTCCCTCAAGACACTTAGAGTTTTCGTGGCTTAACCCCGTCATTTCACAGATGAAGATATTTCTCCTATTTCTCCAATGCAACCCTCTCTTCTCCGTTGTCCGCCCCTTTCTCAGTTTCCTTGGTCCGTGCCCGTTCTGTGAATTTCGTTCATTTTTCATTTTGTCCTTTAATTTTAAGTCACTCAAATTTCTGGTCAGTCATTTCCACGGACGGAAAAACTTCTCCAATTTCTCCAATGAAACTCTTTTTTCCCTGTTTCATTGTTTAGTCGCCTCCGTTTTTTTTTCTTTATTTTAACCTACTCGCGGCTTTTTCTGCGAAGAGCCTCCGTTTTTCTAAGTTTTTTTTTTAAATTGTTGTCGCTCAAAAGACTTTTAATCTTTGCGTAGCTTAGTTCAGTCGGATTCATCAAAGAGGGGGCGTCACTCGAAATTTTCTAGGGTTTTTATCTACTTTTTACCCTGCGAGCAGAGCCTTTTTAACCCGTCCTGGAGGGTTAAAAAGAAGGAAAGAAGGAGAAAAGAAGAAAAGGCTCTGCTCGCAGGGTATCTACTTTTATCTACTGGACGATGAACTGTCGAAGAGTTTTTTTCTTGTTGTTGCTTTGAGAAACTTTTCCTCCCTTGAAAGCCGTCTCCACTAAAGTTAAGTGAGGCGATTCGTATTATGACTATAATTATATGTTCAAAAACAGAAATCTTGTCAGAAATCTTTTGTTATTATGTGAACCCTCCCTTTAAGGTACGGTACGCTAATTTCAACGCTATTTTCCCTAAATATAAAAGAGACACCGAGGGTGGACGCACATTTGCAGTATCAGTTTCAAGACTCTGGAATAATGTACCCTTATCTACTAGGAAAGTGAATTCTGTAGCCTGTTTTAAGCATAACATGTGGAGTAAGTTTTTTAGGGACCAGCAATTTTTACACCATTATCATATTTAGTGATCGAGTTTTATATGAAAATCGCATGTTTTTTGTCATACTTTTAAGCGTTATTCTATTTTTAACTTGTAACTAATTGATTAAATCAGGGCCACAAGTTTATTAGCCTGTGGCTATTACGTGCTACCCTGTATGAGTAAAGTCTTTATAATAATAATAATAATAATAATAATAATAATAATAATAATAATAATAGTTTTGGGACAGACAACAATCTGCGTTCTTCGATGTTCGGGTGTGTCGCCCAAACGCAGATTCGTATCGAGAACTGTCTCCGAAACAGATATTCCAACTACATGAAAATGAGAAGATGAGGCAATACAGCAGGCGGGTTTTGGAAGTGGAGCAAGCGACATTCACACCGTTAGTTTTTACAAGCACAGGTGGAATGGCCGATGAATGCAAGAGATTCCATAGCCGCCTCGCAGAGTTACTTGCGTTATAGAAAGGAGATGACTACGCTACAACCATATCTGGGACTGAGGGCGAAGATATCCTTTGCCATTCTACGTTCAGCTTTGCTGTGTCTCAGAGGAACCAGGAGAAAGAGAAGAGTAGCCAATATATCTGACA